CGTAAAGCACCCGCTAATTCCGAAACCGCACGATCACGTTCTTTTCTTAATCTATCGCAGAGAGTTCTAATACTTTCCCTTTCTAAAACTATTTTATCTCTTTCACTAAAAGCCCAATCTCTTCTTCGCTTTGATACCTCTGCTTCTTGAAGAGCTTCTTCGAGTTCCGCTTGCAATTTGTCGACCGATTTTCTAAGTTTATCTAACTCCAAGTTCGCTTGATCCAAGTTATCCATACGTTCCTTATCTCGTTTCGTGTAATCTGCCGTGTTATTTTCTCTTTCTGCTTCTTTGTTCGAATTATCTCGTTCACGATTATACGAGTGTAATTCCATGCGATTTTTATAATCTCTGTTTGAACCTTCAGAATAATCGCCAAACTTTTGACGTAATTCGTTACATTGCTTTAAAGCATCATCCCGGTCTTGCAAAGCGGATGAAATTTCTCTTCTTAAAGTTTCAATTTGATAGGATAAAGCTTTTTTCTAAAAATAAGGAAAACAGATATTAAAATACTGAACATTAATTTAAAAATAGTACACCTAGTAACAAGTAATGTACAGTATATAAATAACTAAATCCAATACAAAAATCTATGAGAAAAAAATAATAATTGTATCTAAATATTTCTAATTATATGGTCATATTGATAACGCATTTCAATAGTAGAATGTAATAAATAGATAAAAATATACGTTAGAGTTAATAAAAATAAAATTATCATGAGAACAGTTATATGAATTAATTGCTTTCCATAACAAATTTAAAAAAATTTACCTCTTCCGTAAATTGCTTATTTTGATTTTCTAGATGTGTGACTTTTGTATATGCTTGCGTAAGATCATCACCAAGTTTTTCCATCTCTTTATGCACTGTATCTCGTTCGCCCATAATTAAACTGTACTCTTGTAATGCAGCATTTCTTTCCTCTGTTAATCGCTTCATATCCTTACTAGCCTTCATGCGTAGCACCATTGCATGATTAATTTCTTTCACTGCTTCTTCATGTTGTTGCTGTACTTTGGCTAAGGCTTCACGATATTCGTTTCTTTCCCTTAATGCAATATCCCACTGCCTAATAGCAGCGGTACACTGTTGTTTTAAACCATTACGCTCGCGAACTGCGCTATTACGTTCTTGAACAATTTCATCATACTGTTTCTTTAATCTGGTAGCCTCTTCTTGAGATAATTCCAACTACGTTTGAACACACATATAAAATTTGCATTATAATTGTAGCTGTACATACGCGTTTTAATGTTCCAAAAACCAATATTACATACATACCTTATTAACGGCCGATGAATGTGATGCTATTAAATCATCATACCGTTTTCTAAGTGCATCGTACTCGTCTTTAACAGCTTCATATTTCCGAAGTGCAGATAAATAGTGCTGATTCATAGTGTCACTATTACTGGCATCAGAAACAAGGACTTCTTGATTCTGACATCTTAATTCAGACACTTCCTTTTGCAACGCCTGAACTTCGCGATCCAGGCGTTGCTTGTCATTCACTAAATCTCCATATTTGCCGCGCAGTGCGGAACTTTCTTGTGATGTTGCTTCTAGTTGATTCATGACTGCTATATGTTGTCCCCTGTAGTATTCCAATTCCTTCATAGTATGTTCACACCTGCATTTAAATTAATTTAATTAAATATTTTATTAAAAAAACGTGTAATCTAAATTATATTTGTTTTGTACAAAACATCAAACATGGTAACACAAACAATTAAGCAATACCACATTAAACAAAACCAGGACAAACCGTCTTATAGTATCGGAGTGCTTATGCCTAAGTAGCTGAAGCTGATGCATGGCTTGATCACACTGTGCTTGCAAACCATCATAATCACTACGACATTCAGGCCCACCAACAGGACTGCCGACACTGCCATAGCCTCCACTATCTCTTTCTGCATGCCATACACTCAAGTTATATCCAATAATGCAAATTACAAAATAATAAAAACTACGCAATTAAATATAATTCGTGTATTTCTATATATATAAAAGTGATATCAGTGCAACGAAATGTGCATTAAATTAAAAATTGCTATATAAAATGCTTTTGTGTCAAAGTTTGTTTTACATAAAGATACAACTTTAATTTGCTTTACATAAATGTATAATATAGATAAATATCTTAATAGAATACATGAAAAAATTAACACTTTTGCTAAAAAGAAAAAAGTACTATTGCTAAAAAGAAAAATTCAATACACAACACAATTTATATCTTCTTCACATATTAATCTTACCCATATTGAGTGCTCCATCTGCAAAAAGGTAAAAAACAAGAATATAAGTAATTATAACAATATATGATCCACTATAAATATAAAAGTGAAATGATTTGTACAACATACACTATGTTGTTACAATTGGTAGAACAATGTAATCAGAGGTCTAGTTAACTTTCACCAGAAAAGAAACTCTATGTCACGCATGTAAGCATCATGATTCACTGCTTTTTGCAAAGTGAAATTATAAATACCCTTAATTATCACACACCTACAATGCTTCAGTTATCCAAAATTATAAAACTCTATATTTAGCTTTCAATTCTTCTGTTCAAAATAAAATTCAATATTATTTTTTGACAATGAACTTTTACAAGACAATATATTTTGACATGTGAAAACATGTAACATTACATTGACATTTATATAAGTGTATCTATTGCTGTCTCTGTTACATACTTTCTTTTGCATTACAGACTAAAATTAAAACAAACCATTCTTCAGTAGCACTGAAATTATTAGGTCAAACCTTTCCATTTAAATCTGTACCTACAAGGGTAAACAACCAATACAAACATACATTGACACATAACATGGAAAACTAAAAATTATACTCACCACTACTTCCAGCACTATCCAAGGAAGACGCACCAGAAGCCATACTCTTGATTCATCGAGGATCTACCACAAATATTTCTCTAGCAAGGTACGTGCTAGGTATTGCCTGGAAAGTATCCATGCGCTGTACTTCACGGAAGAGTGAACCCTTTGTGAATTACTAAGAAGTAGCCTTCGGGATGACATTATGGCTATGGTCTAAACGGTGCATGGCGCTCATCAGAGGGATGCAACAGTGCACCTGGCAGACACACACACACATACACACACATACACACACATACACACACATACACGCAGAGAGTAGCTCTTACTCCAATACAAACACGTGCCTCGTAATATCGAGACTTTTCATGCATCACTTTTTCCCAAGCGGTTACTGATACGGCAGAAACAACGGGTAGACGTATGTTTTCTGAATGGACGTAATAAATTAATCTACGTTTTGCTGATGTGTCTCAATCTTTCGAGACCGCGTCGCATCCGTTCCTATTTTCTCATGTCAACTGCGAGGTTATTGATTCACGTACGCAAGCAAGTCCAGACGTGTAACGATCGCCGGCTGACTCATTTCTGACAAACTGAAAACTTGTTATCACTATAGAAAAAAAGGGGCCAACAAGCCTTTCAACGGTAATCTCGATCACACACCTCTTCAGATAATCCATCGAGTCGTTCGACAACGCTAGAATCTGCACAATTTTCACTGAATTCAGCAGTTCCGACAGCCGCGAACTGCGCACCGTTCATCCCAAAGCGACTGACGTCCCGATATTAATGATAATTGATCGCTCACCTGCTGCACCAACGAACCTGACAATTAGCCATTTTCATTCCGCCACTGCAGTCTGTTTCGCATTGTCGATAATAAACATACTTCGTGGACGAGCCTGTTATTCGTAGTGCTGGCACAGACGAAGTATATGGATATCTCGTCTGTGGCGCTAGTATCCACGTAAAATCAGTCGATTATGTCGTTCGAAAAGGCTCGTTCTAGAAGAATTCTAAATTTTGAATTCGAAATTCACACAATCCTAATTAATTCTATCCGATTCGTGCAGTAACTTTCAGCATTTTATTTACATTATTCAGAAAATGATTAATTACTCTGTATAAAATGTCGTTATCCTAGGAGATAAGAATTTATTTTCCACATTAACTATCGCACAGATGTGTACCTCTATATCTTGTCTGCGCTAACTAGGATCACAAACAAGATATAGAATATACCTTATGTATCTTGTCTGTGATTTAGAATGAATCCCTATGCTTCTGGCATTGCCTAAATCATTTTGGCAATATTAGGGTAATAACCTTTGTTAATACACATTTTGAAAAACAAATTTTTCTATTGTTGCAATCAATAATTTTTAGATTTTTATTGTTTTATACCTCCCATTAATTCAAGGCAACAATATAAATACTCTAATTTTTACATTTGTGCAGACTAAAACTACATTTACACCTTAATTTTTAATTCTGAGATATATGAAATCCTAACTCATATAGAAAATAATTGTAGTTAAAAATCGAGTTGACCTATGGTCATTTGTCACGTAATTGACAAAGTGTTTAATGTAATAAATAATTTTTGATGCACTATCCATATTGTTGATTTTAATTCTTATCATTGGTAGCGCTATAGTGCAAAACCTATTTAAATCGGTACAGCAGAATGTGACACAAAAATGATAAAGGGATTTTAAAAAATACAGGGATTCCCCCGTGTATGCGATACAAAATGCATTGGATACCATGTCTATATATTCACCTAGAAAGAAAAAAATTATTTATTATTATTTTTTAATATTGAAAATAGATTTTGATTCGATATTTCTTTTTAGTAAGATTAATACGAAATTAATTGTTTGACGCGAATTTCAAGTATCATATACTCAATGAAATGTATTATATTTATTTACAAAATTAGTTAAATGTAAATTTTTTATTTGCAAAAATAATTTTCCGATTATTTAAATCATAAGGAACTGTGATATTTTAAATATTGTTACATATTCTAATAATTCATTATGCCGAAGATCTTTTATTTTTCTATTTTATCAAAATGTTTTATTTTCGATGAGAGATATATTTAATCTTTTATATAATTTTTATATAATGATAACTACAAAACAATTGGTTTAAATTATTTTATTTATTGGCGAACATCATTACCACTGATTTTCAAGTTGACAGTCGTGCATAGAAAAGAAAAAAAAAAAATAGTATGCGAATACTTACACCAGTCATAAGAAATATATACTTTCGTGTCGTAGTGTCAGAGAATAAGTGTATTCGCAGTTCTGTTAGATAGATTTGGGCGATTAATATTAAATACAAAATATATATTTATAGCAGTAATATTTTATCTCTCTCGTTCGCACTCACTCTCTCTCTCTCTCTCTCTCTCTCTCTCTCTCTCTCGTAATATAATAACACATATCTCTTTGTAATATAGATAATCTTTCTTTGATTTTGCAAGGCCAGCATAGAAATCACACTAGAGAATGGTAAACTTAGTCTTTATTTTTCTAAATTTTAGACAAAGAGACGCTCTTATCAAATGACCCATTGTTTGAACGCAATTCACTTTATACACATTTTGTAAAAGTAATTTCGACTAATTCCGAGCTCTTTATAAATATGAAATTTAACTCGTAGTAATGAAAATTTCTTTCGATACCTGCACTTATTTTTCAACAGTGAAATACAGGTTTTGATAAAATCGCTTTTTTTATGTTCTGTAGCATTAGATTTTTTTATCGTGTGTGTATGTAAGTATGTATATGTATGCGCGTGTTTCAAATCATCGAATTCTTACGTGATGTGTTTATAAAACGATACTTTAAAATTCAAACTAATTGCAATGTGCATTTCCTGGTGTTTTCGTTTCGAATATTTTGTTCTGTATAAATTCCACAAAATCAAATATTCGAATGACCTATTGTACGCTCAGTCTAAAACAACTTTGTAAAAATACGTTGATCGTAAACCGTATAAAATATATCGTGTGTGCTCATCTTTACGACAGATAAAAATAGTACTACTGGAAAATATTCGCAGCGATTCTTGTTTTTTGCATGCATTTGGAAACTTTATTTTCCTGAAGATCTCAGCCGGCGTTACAAAGATCATCGTTTCAATTAAATTCGAAAGCAAATCATCGTGAAACAAATTTCGAGACGTATTGCATTTTAATAGTGGCAATTCTTCGATTTTTCACCTGCAATATCACGATTCTCATACAGAGCAGAGATTCCTCGCGAATAACGATTCTTCGAGATAAGCAATGCGAGTAATTGAAAAAATCATGTCGTACTGCGTAAATGGCAAACCAGAAGTTTCTTTTAAAGTGGAAAAATGTAGTACACTCCAAAACGACATTGTACAGGCAGTGATAATCGTAATATGTCTGCAAAATATTTGTAAAGTCATACAAAGATCCATTGAAATTCAGAAGAAAACTTGTACTTGTAGAAAAAACGTTTACTTGGGAAAAGTATATGCTATTTTTATATGCAGGTTTTAGAGGCAGATATCGTATGAAAAGGAATGTAGAAAACTAAGAGAAGTAGATTTTACTATGATAAACTTTGGTATTATATATGAGTGAACTTTCATGTCCCTCTGTCCTTTCTTTTCTTCAACACCTTCGATCTTTCCGTGTAGAAAGATAGCCGATTATTTACAAGAGAAGAAAAAAATGATATAAACTACAACGAGATTAATATTAATGAAAATAATATTAATAATAATAATAATAACGCAATAATAATAGCAATAATAATAATAATAAAAATAAATCATACTAATACCATTGGTGAAAGATATTAAAAGAAAAGGTGCATAACTAAGCAAATGAAATACACTTAGTTTACTTTGCATATTAGTGAACAATGAACGATAATACGTGTCTTACTTGTATGTTACTGACACATCGGTACATCATGTGTTATTAAACAATTTGGTGCATTTAAATCATTATAACCGTCGGAAACGGCTAAAAAACCTAATCTTATTCTAAATTGAATAATGGTGCCGGGAGATTAACTAACGAGGTGTTCTCATAATTGCTAAAGTTGTTTCGAACTAATACTAAAAAACTAGTAATGATTTCGGTAGATTTACCGCGACGAATACTGTAACTAACGATACATATCCTTGTTTCAATGTGAGACGTCAGAAATATATCGATAAAACACATATTTCTATAGCCCATAAGCGTGTGGATATTTATACCAGTCACTTTATATCGTGTTATGGGACAATATGCAGTTATCTCGTTTGAAAACAGTACGAGAATTGTAACTGCTATTTTTATATATAATTTATATATATATATATCGATCTCAGTTTATGCACATTTAATTATTACAGGTAAAATATGTAATATTAATTTCTGTATATTTACTCTCGTTTTCAGAAACTAAGTCTAAAGGCCATTTTACTTTTTATTTCTAATCTATCTGTTGTAATGACAAGATGTACCTACTTTTTTTTTTAAACATTCCTATTCATATTCATACATTGTGTGTGTTTGTGTGACCATTTACTTTGTATTGACTATTAGAGATTATCTTACGCCTACGAATAAATTAATAGATAAATAATATTGTTAAAGATCAAACAAATATTTCTACAAGTAACAATTAGCGTCTACGTTGCTAATATTGCGAAAGACGCATCACTATAGTTACATCGCGAAACATTTCCTCTAAATATCCTTCACTGACCCGTTCTGTTGTAATATACAGCGTTATCAATTTCTATCTAAAGAAGTTCAACCACAGTGTTACAACATAACATAAAGCATTTCAACTGCAAGTTTCAAACTCCGTTTGTAAACTACTTCGGAAAAATTTCTCCTGGGAAGAAGCAATTCCGAAAAAGTACGACGTGTAGAGTTCTCAACTACTGCACCCAACTAATTATTAAAATCTAATAATTGCAACGGGAAGTTATCCACCGACAAAAGGCGTGTTAAGATCTCAAGGAGATCTTTAAACGGTAGACGTTTGTTGATTATTGTTATCCAACGGGATACTTGTCGAACATTCTTTCAGCATAGCTCGCAATCGTAGAATTTCCTTTGAAGCGGCAGCAAGATCAGATTGTAACTGAAGCTCCTTTTCTCGCAGACGTTTTATATCACGTTGGCAGGTCTATAAAATAAAGTTCATACTTAAGTCGTCGCGTCAACGAGGTATAGAAAGTTTCATATCTTCACACATACACTTACCACATTTTGCCTCAGTAAATCTAACTTGTCGCATTTAAGCCTGGTTACTTCCATTCGTAAATTTTCATTCTCTAGAATGCCATCCTTGGCGGTACACCTTGCTGTATCGTGGGTTTCAGCTGAACTCATCGATTCGAGGCCTGTATCGCTGTCCGGGTATACAGCCTGGTCTAGCTCCAGCTCGCTGTTCAATGAACTGTCGTCACTTTCCGAAATAACACGCTGGGTCGTTTCTGTCTTCTCGGATCTCTCTTGTTTCCGTAAGTTCTCGTGAGTCAGTCTTTGAACGGACGATACGGACGTTTTATCCACCACCGTGGTATCGTTGCTAGCGCAAATTGAGGTGGTGGATTCTCTACGGTCCACCTCGTCTTGCTGTAGGGTGGCCAAACTACTATCTTGATTGTCTGTGTTGGATAAACTGCTATCCTGACTGCCTAAGCTAGGGCTTCCACGTTCCGAGTCCCTCCTGAGGGTTAAATCCGGCGAGCCTAAGGGACTGGAAGGCTCCACCGAACGTTTGCTGCTAATTTTCGTGGTCGATTGTCGATTGCTCGGCGGGCTAGGCTCCGACTGGCCCTTTTTTGATAATTGCTGCGGTACGCTCTCCGTCGAGGCGTTTCTAACGCGCGATATCAGCGCTTTTCGAACGGTATCGATGAATCTGGAGCCACTTCCACCGCTACCAGATCCCGACGCGTCGCTCGCCGTCGGGCTTACTGGACAATTCCCTCCGAATCCCAAACCGGTAGCTCCCAGGCCGATCGCACCGCCGAGAAAATCCGCGGTCTTCGTTTGCAATTCTTCCGTCAGAGATTCCAAGAGAGCTGACCTCGTTCTTAGCTGTACGTTGAAAAAGAATTATGCCAATTTAAATATAGAATAATTCATTGCTATCGTTAATAGTTATCACAATTATTCCGGCACAATAATATGCATATAATTCTCCGGCCTAGCTTTGTCCAATTACCTCGAGTTTCGAGAACTTTTCCGCCTTGTACGCCGCGTTCTCGGCGTTCACTAATTTCGTCAAAAGGAATTCCTTGAAATCGACTCCGCGCAAAAATACAGCTGGCGTTGGCAAAGCTGGACCAAACCAGGGAACGTCGTTTCGTGCCGTTATGCTGACCTTGTACCTACATATAGAATTGAGAAATGAGCGGACCTAGAAATAACGTGTCGCCCGAAAAAAATCTGACATCGGTGCTGCGGCTAATATAGAAATTGACTAACGAGCGAAAAACGATGACTTATCTTTTTTCTATCTAACAGAACATTCAGCGTAGTACTATCGCAGCCGGATGTTTGCTCAAAGTTAGGAATAGCGATTTCGTAACCGGCGTGCTGGTACTTTGTGCGACCTTACTACATAGACATACACGGGCACGCACAAATCTAAGAATATACCTGGTATTAGGAGTGCAGGGGTCGACGACCTGTACCACGATGAATGCGTGTAAGAAGTGGCTGGCGATCATATCTGGACTGAAAGGGGTTGGCTCCTCTTGGAATATTATCGCGACGATGTCATTGCCAATGTGTCTTTTACGCTGCAGTTGCTGAGAGTCTCCTGGACTGTACGGCAACAGAGAAGCGACATGGAACAGCACTTCTCGACCTCGAAATACTTCGTATACCGCGGAATCTCCTGTCTGTCCGTGTCGAGTGTCTAAACCACCGCGGTATCTGCAAACGTTCATACAGCAATTTGAACATCGTCATAGCTAATTGCTTTCGGTGGAAACCGAGGAATAAAATTAAAATTGTTTTAAAATTATGTTGTAATTAGTACGTATCTTATTATTTTATACTACAATATAATATCATTTCAATTGCAATTTTTCAATTACTGAATCAACCATGCTTAATCATATACAGCGATGTTGAAATGTTTCTCGATGAAATGAAGTTTTCAGTTGACATAGAGCCACAAGTTGAATCGAGAGCTTCGAGTAACAGAGTAATTGATTTTAGTTTTAGAAATATCCTGTCGCAATCGATACCAACCCTTTGTGATCCTTCAGGTCGATTTTCTGGCCCAGTAAATCGAGAAATTCTTGGAAAGCCGGGGTAATTTGTCTATTTCCAAAGAGTTGCTCTTCGGTCACTTGGCCGGCACGTTGGTGAAGAACACCGAATTTAAACCTCGACACCAGAGCATGTTCGTCATACCGTGCTATCAGTGTACCGGCACCAGAACAGACAACAGGCATCAACGTGCTCACGTTCAGGGATTCGTTGATCGCCTGTAAAAAGAAACTGCGTCATGCTACACCTTGTCAGTAGATTACGGTCTCTTATTTTTTCCCCTGTACATGTACACATTTGCAAACAATACCTTCAAACGGTACTCGAAGCAGATTTTCGAACATTACGACTTCGCATTTAAAATAATTCAGGGATTATAATCTATGTAGGCGTTTAAAAAAAAAATCGAAGGCAAAATTTTTTAAATTTACTTAAAAAATTTAAAATGTTCTTTTTCTTTTTTTAACTTGTTGATACGAAATGTAAATTTGTGAAAAATAATTTGAATTGGAAACAACAAAATTTGAATATCTATCGAACGTTATGCATAACATACAGAATAGTAGAAATAATTGTTGCAAATGTCAGGAAGAGGCATGAATTGTTACTTCATGGGTTCAAATTAAGGACAATTGGAAGCGTGCAATTAAAACGCAGACGCGAATCAAGTTCTTCTAATAAACTATTGAGACATTTATCAATACGAACGAATATAACTATAATATAATTTTATTTCTACATAATGGCTAAACATGTGAATATTTATCTGTAATAATGCAACGTCGATAATGGAAAGAACTGATAAAAGTTGAAGAAATATTAATTCTTAATATGTATAAACTACTTGTATAATGTAAAGATAAGAATATTTATGAAATTTTATCTATAAAAGATAATCTAATATTACAATAATTGTTCGATTTTTCATGTTTCTCGTGACACATCAATTCTCAAAATAAATTTACTGTCTGGATATGTCACTTCCCATTTCAGTTTCAGTGATTATCAAAACAAAAACTACTTTAAAGTTCAAAAACTCATAGAGATCTGTGTCTGAAATTTTCCATGATCGATTTATTAGATAGCTTGGAAATATTCCTAATTTCTGTGCCTTATTTTCTTTGGAACTGGCACTAATCCAAGTAAATGTTCATGAGAAAGGAAAATGTCAGACACATTATCGAATTAATATCTCGCAGACGATTTTTGGAAATTGCATTGTTGGAAAAACAGAACATTAAATAGCACTATATTTTAATCTGTGTGTTCATATGATTAACTCCCTCCCCCCAAAAAATTAAAAAATACACAAGACTTGCATCACTCACTATTTCACAAGGAAACACAAATTTAGAAACTAAGAATCTCTTCAGTCTAAGAATAAACTTGTCCCAATACCAATATCCAATATCCAATTCCAATACCAATAAAATAAAGACCGAAACAATTATTTCAACCTCCTCAATAAAATTCATTTTGTCATAATTCTTACGAATCCCCATTAAAAACTTCTCTAGCGTAACTTTAAGATACAGTCAAACATCGCCATCAATAACATCCTCCGACGTACGGCGCTCTTTTTAAACAATATATTACGTAAAACGTTCAAATAATATCTCGTTAGCTACGACAATCGCTTATTGTCAGGACGTTTCTCTCGCTTAACCTTCCATTATCAAACACCCAATCGCGACAATGGAATAGACAATGCACATCGTCCGCTCGATAACCTCGATAAAGAGCAGCGCAGGGTAAAACTTCGTACGATGGGAAGATGTATCTTCGAAAAGAGAGTACTTGAACTTCTTCGTTTCATCAGGGAGAAAATTTAAAAAAAAAAAGGGAGGAGGGGAGAGAAGATAAAGAAGAGACGCTTCACCTTGACCATTTTCGCTGGTGACGGATTCGGGCCGAGGTTCACGGCCGGTACCAACTCGTGTGTCGAACCTGCTCGCAATCGTAACAACACCCTCCAGTGCTCCTGTCCAGCAACCGTCTCGGCCTTCACCGAGACGAGGACCGGCCCGTTCTCCCCGTCTCTTCCCACCAAATTCACGTGCTCCTGCAAGAAGGAAAAGAGAGAAAAAAAAAAATAGAAATAAAAAGAACGTTTCAGGCTGGGTAAAACGAAGCGGGTCTCGTTTTACGATCGAGCCCGCCAGCAAGCTTGTGCGAAATTCAGCTCGACTCTCCGATGGTCGACTTTGATGTCCTTCCGAGTACAGGTACATACGTGCATCGGTGAAAGGTGCAACATTTTCGGGGAGGTCAAAAGTGCTAAGGGTTGCACGTGTCCGGAAAGATCGAGGAAGTTACGATCGTCTCGGTGTCCCCGTTCGAAAGATTCTGCGACACCGTGGAAAAGCAGCATGCAACGTATCGCAGACTCGCGACGAAAGTGGAAAGAGAAACGTTTCGTGTGTGTTCTTGGATATAAATAATTGTACCATTGGGTGCAAGAGGTCATTTACGATACGTTTACAGACGTTTACAAGATTGTTGATAATATTTAGAAAAATTTAGTGTTATTTAGTATATATTATGTAGTATTATTATTGTATATATTATTATAGTTATTTAGTATATATTATGTAGTATTATTATTGTATATAGTATATATTATGTAGTATTATTAATACTATGTTAAATATATGTTATTTATAATATATTATTATATGTATAATTAAATTAAATAATTAAATAAATTATATATATAAATAATTATTATATTATACTATTTAGTATGTATTACGTAATATATAATAATAATTATTATATAATATAATAATAATATAATAATAATTATTATATAATAATATATATATAATAATTATTATTTATATAAATATACTATTTAGTATATATTACGTAATATATACTAATAATATAATAATTATTTATATAAACATAAATAATTATTATATTATACTATTTAGTATATATTACGTGGTATTATTTATTTAGTATATATCCTCACTTGAATTACGTGGTTATTACTTTTATTTTATAAAATACTAATACGCTTGAAAAAAAAAAAGACCCGAGCATCCTGAGGATCTTCTTGCATTCAACACTGCAATTTGACGTTATGCGATCAGTTACACTTATCAAAAATAAAAATAAATTTATATCAGCGAAGTCGAAGTATACGCTTGAAAGGTCAAAACCAAATTGGAAGCTAGTCAGAGACAATTTAAGACACTCATTTGATGAAGATATACCTAAGTAAATAATCTAATATATGATATTATAAATTGCAAAAATATTTGTGTATAATATCAAAAATTGCAGTGTCGGTTATTTAAATGTTATTAGTCGAGTTATTAGACAAATCTGCACGTTTCCTACCAAGCTGACATTTCTTTTAACCCTTAACTAATATTGTTGAACATCACAGCCACAGACATTGCCACACGACGAATAAAATTTTTAAATTCTAATAATTCAAGATGTAATTATCAAATGTATATAAGATGTATATTATTAGATGACATGACGTACTATGTGTTTTGTATTACATAATACGTATTATGGCGTAGCACGTTGCACTGTATCATTATCGTACGTTAGGGCAACAATGTTATATTACAGAACTTAGGGATACGCTCAAAGGAATATATCACTCGAAAGATAATTGGACCTAACAGCAAGTAGTATAGTTGAAATACTATACGACGACATAAAGGACTTAATACATTCAACACTTATTTATCACATAAATAAAATTTAGATCTTCTTACATCCTTTAGAAGACAGTATAAATATACTGTATAAATTTCTCCTATTCCTTTTTTATACGTTTTACAGTCTCTCACAATTTCTGCTTAATAATCTCCCTTATATCGCGTAATCGATACTTTTCCTCGTGTATCTCTGATAATTCAATTGTTCCGATAAGAAAGTAAGCACCAGCGAATTAACAGGAAAAACAGCTCGTGAATCAATATTAACTATTACGACAGTAGACGTCGGAACAGAAGAATATACAATTTTCCAAGTGAAAATTTTACCTTACTCCCGAACAATCGGCTGTGCCATAAATTTCGAAAAGACTCGCGACTGCGAACTTTTTTTTTCCTAAGACTGATTCGCGACTCGTGAAAGCGTTGCGCTGCAAGCGTATTGTGTGCACTCGCAACAAGAACAGGATGCGTGCACGCATGCACGCACAATGAGCCCACAAATCTACGCGGTGACGCAACCATCAAGGAACTCCCATTGCACGCATAAAACGAGAAAAATGGTTGTACGTGGCTCGATCCGGTCGTTACTTTGCATTGAATGTTCGAGTGATTCACAATTTTAATTCGGACGCGTGTGTGATTAAATATTCAAAGACAAAACAAAATTTTAGTGGCAGATCAGTCGTAGTGATAGATTGATAAAACGACAGATTAATCATTATTACGGAACGTTATGGATTATGGTAAATACCGTTTCAAATTTTAAGAAATTCTATTATATATAGCGTCGCGTGATGAACTCTGATGCTTTATTAAAATTTAAATGAGCATAAAATTTTTAACATTTCATTACGGAAAATCTGTTAATGACATTTCGTTTCATTCGTTTTAATTCCATTGAATAGTTTAACAGCGTTTACAAAATATTTCCGTAAATTTATATTACAATAGCCATAAAATTAGTGGTATGAATAAAATAATGTCAAGAAGGAACAACGGAGCAATTACGATGAACGAAACGTGCCGTAAACAATGCAAACGGAACACATTGTCAATCATTATGTACGATGCGTAAACTACTTTTGTTTGTGTTTCTCCAAATTAAAGAGAAATAAAAGCAATTCTGTTTGTTTGTACACGGCTGAAAAACAATTGTCAATTTCGCCATTGTTCAATTGTTGCACAAAGAGCAGTAAACCAAACAACGTTTCCAACGTAGAAACGCACGAGCTCCAAAAAGTTTCGGCTACATTTAGGGATAATTAAACGACTTGTCAAAAGACTTTTACGTTGGAGCGTCGAATTATCGATAACATTATCTTTAGACACGATAATATCGTTTCCTTTTTCACGTGATTAACTCTATTCAATCGAATTCACACCCGTCTGGTACGCTCTTTCGCTTCTGTTATTTTTGCGCGAATAGAGAACGAGTTTGTTATATATAAAAAAAAAAAAGAGAACAGCAATACCTTGTTCGATGATCCACTTTTTCAAAGCAGCAATTTGTCCTCTACAAGTTAAAAAATTTAAGAACTGCTTGTCATTTAGAGTTCCATGACGTTCCTCTGATTTTATATTTCTAGATTTGTTTCACAAACTCGATCCATTTCGAAATATCTAATTGTGTCTGTTTCACGTAACAGATTGTACGCAAATGTACGAGCAAATACTTTCACGAGCAAGGTATACACAAAAGACACGAGAACGTTTCGTAATCGTTCGTAATTACGATATTTGCTTACATGAGTTCAATAATCGTAATCAGTCAAGGCGAGCCCACGGTCGTGAGGCAATATTTTTACAAGTCTTATCGACAGAAGAACGTGCATACGCGCGCATTCTGTGCTTAATCAATAACGCTTCGTCTCGTTATCAATAATTTTAAATACAAACAAAAATTCCACCACGTTCCACTTTGATACTGCGATAAACAAGGTTTCTAATTTATCTCGCAATTTAATGAATTTCAATTATTGACAGACATTCTGTTCTGACAATATAATCATTTAAATATAAAATGTACAATTACCTCAATGCATAATTATCTCGATATAATCGTTTGAATATAAAATGCATGATTATCTTATTGCGTATAATTATAATAAAATATAAATATCAAGACTATAGATTTATAATATTCGCAAGGAAATAAACGTTTAAAGGATTGAAAAGTTGAAAATATTCGAGAAACAAAAGACAAAGGAGGCTCTACTGTATTTCAAGAAACTTTGATACTTACTCAAACGTAATTTACGATATAATTATTGCACGTTTGCAGATGCAAATTAATTGTTTCGTTTAATTTCTCCAGTGTCAACTTTCACAGATATAACAAATTGATTCTAGCCCTAAGACTTTCAAACGGAAGTGTACATTATTAGCGAATCGGCTGGCGGATTAAATATGCCACAACGCATTGTCCTAAGTCTCTCCTGCACGAACGTGTCGCATGTTCGTAGCTAATGGCTCAAAAAACATAGCAGGAAGCGATATAAGCGGCGTTCCTCGTAATTATACTTTTAATTGAGCTAATCAGATTTCTCCTGGACATGGTCCACGCCATTTCGCGGTTTCTTTTCCTCCGTTCGTATCGCGCGGCTTTCAAGGATTATGCTATCGCTCGCGAGTTTTTTTGCATCGTGCTACGTCCACGTCCTCCCGTGGATTCGAGCATAATCTTTCAAAAAGTTGCACGCGTACTTGCTTCTCTTTCTGTCATTCAAAAGCGGAATTGGAGCGTCATAAAAGAAGTCGAAGTATGTACGCGCTTAATAATCTTGTAGGTTAACATATTAATCAACATCTTATTGATTCATGTATCCTACATTATTATAATATATATAATATATATAATATAATATAATATTATATAAAACATATAAAAATTTAATATTTAAAATAATAAGGATAAGGATATATATAATATAATATATATATAATATTATATTCACATTTTGCTCCCTGCTTTTCTATCTTCGAATTTATTTAGTAACGACAGTATTTAATGGAAATATTTTTTTCGAACGATGGTGACATTGAATTTTGTATTTTAAACGCGGCGTTGAACGCACGAAGTAACATAAATGTTTAGATTTCCCGATCGTTTATCACATCCGGTTGGAGTTAATTACTAATAAAACCGGCAAACACGCAAAGCTTAATACCCTGTGACGAATTATTTATTTCTCCACAATTTTCTTCTTGAAATATCTAGAACATTCTACATTTATTCCAAACCAGGTGATTTTCTTTTGCACGATATGTCTGCATAAATATCCGATTATTATATCCTGAAAGTACTATATAAATAAAAGATATACGCACAACACAAAATTAAATTATCAAAATAGGGTTTAATTTTATTTATATAAAGTTG